GGATGGATGGATGGATGGATGGATGGATGGATGGATGGATGGATGGATGGATGGATGGATTTCTAGTCTCGAGATCCCTCATAATCTTATCTTAAAGTGATACTGTGTAACTTTTAGCCATCAAGGGGGACCTGACCTGTAACTTCCAGGTTTAGCACCCTTAAAGACCAGTGGAGACCATCTGATTGAGATGTCATGAATTTACTGGTAAAGACACTCCTCTAGAATAAATGTTACATCAGAGAACCAACAATATGTCTTAGCTGGTGTCATCTGTTTTGATGTTTAAGGACATCTTTTAGATTAGTTAGGTTTAAGAGATTCTCCAAATGCTGTAAAGCATTACTCAGAGTTAAAGCGATGACTCGTTCAGCCATAGATCGGATGCTCTGAAGTTACATTGTGAATTCTTGAGAAGGGCAGCCGATATGGAGCAAGTGCTGTAGATTAACCTGAAAGTCATTTAATGGACCTCAAATTATGCAAAGACGTGGATAAAAGTTGCACAGTGTTGTTTTAATCTAATCTTTAAGCTCTACATGAACTTAAAATTATTATGTTTACAATCAAGATCATTTACAATCACACCCCTTATTTAATCTCCTTCATATCACCGCCTCCTTCCGCTCCCTCAGGAGCAGAGATTTTCTCTTGTTCTGCTTCCAGACTCTGGAATCCTCTCCTCTCTATTATTGACGCTACATCTATTTAAATCCGGACCCAAAGACACCCCTTCGAAAGATTTATTCTCTGTGATTTGTGAATTTCATTGATGATGTTCATCATTTTTATTGTTCTTTACTTTTATTTGTGTAGCAATCTTGAGTTTTATGAAAGATGTTTCTATAGAAAATTTATTATTATTATTAGATCTACATACAGCTGTAACATTAGTGATTTGCATCTGTAAGAACTTGAGTTTTTTTTTTAAACTAGTTAAATTTTCTTGATTTATTTTACACACTTTTTGAAAAATCCTTTAATAAAAATCCTATATAATAAACAGGACGCAAACAGTTTAACAGCTTAAATTTTTACAAAGGAAGGAAGATTTTAATTTTTTAATTTTTTTTTTACCATGTTGTCAAACACTTCACAAAGCTGTTTCCACTGTTGAAAGATTTTGGTTGCAGCCCTCTCATGCTTCTGGTTCTTGCATGAGTAGTTATTCTTCATGAGCTGGCCGATGTACTCCTTCACTACATGGTAATGCAAACGGTTCGCAAATTCCTGTCCAACAGAAATAGGGATGGATTATCAGAACAGCATGGAACAAATGGAGAAGGGAGGTGATGGATTGTGCCTTTCTTGCCATACAATTAAAAAATTATGTAGTCAAAATCAAATATATTATGCAGTGTCAAAGCATTATGCTTTGACACTTTAACTTCCACCAATTCATTTTTTTTTTTTTACTGCTTCCGTAACAGACTAAAAAAAATCCAACAGGAATTTCCAGGATGCCAATGAAAAGAACATTCAGCATTTCCTTTTTCCGTCTTTCGGAGAAATTACATGGCTGTTCATACAACAGGCGTTTATTCATCCACCAGATAAGACCCTGGAGAGTTAAGAACAATTATATATTACAACACTTCCAAGACAAACAATAGCTAATACAGCTGAAAGCACTGAGACATTTACTTTGGTTTGATGCTGATGTCAGCATTACAGTAGTGCTCTAAAGTTTACACTTTGTTGTCGCCTTTTTTTTTTTTACAGAATATAAATCATAACACAAAAATACAGCTTTTCTGCTCATGGTTAGTGGTTGAATGACAACATTTATTAATAAACAACTTGGTTAAATTGCCCATTCTTCTTGGCAAAAGGCCTCCATTTGTAAATTCTTTGGGTGTCTTGCATGAACATGAGATGTCCCCAGATTGGCTCAATGGTAATGAGGTCAGGAGACAGATTGCTGTAGCCAATCACAGGTCGGCTTGGCCTTGTGTTTTGGACAATCGTCTTTGTGGGACATCCGATTACGTCCCATATGCAGCTTTGAGCCTGATATATATAAATGTGCCTCCACTATTTGCTAACAACATTCCTCATTCCACTAGCTTTGATCTGTGCCTTTGTAGCTCAAACATCCCCAAAACATCAGTGATTCATCTCCATGCTTTACAGTAGGAATGGTGCTTCTTTTGACATAGGCCTTATGTATATCTCTCTAAATGCAATGTTTATGGTTGTGGCAAAAATGTTTTAGCTTAGTATCATCACTCAAAATGTCCTTGTTCTAGAAATTCTGAGGTTTGTCCCTTTGCTGTTTATGCATATTGTAGATAAAATACTTTGCAGTAATGCAATGGATTTTTTCTAGTAACACCATGCAGCCCATTTTTCTTCAACTGCTTCAGTTTGTGCATCTTGAAAGAGCCACTCAGCTAGTTTTCAGAGAGTCCTAGCTTTCAGCTGATTTCGTTTTATCCTGAACAATTTTGTTGGCCTACGTAACAATGGCTTACGGGCTTCCTCCCACAGTCCAAAAACATGACTGTTAGTTTTTTAGCTTCTCTAAATTCTCCTTAGGTGAGTGTGTGCATGAATGGTTGTTTGTCCTGTTTGTCTCTGTGTTGCCCTGCGATAGACTGGCAACCCTTCCAGGTTGTACCCTGCCTCTCATTCATTGACAATGGAGATAGGCACCAGAACTCCTCACGACCCCAACAGGGATAAGCATGACGGAAAATGGATGTATGGATGGATATTGTCCAAAATAGAATAACATCAATTAAAACTTCCCAAATTTGATCAATCAGACAAATCGTAACCATGCTTCTGTACCTCTAAATATGGAGGACTCATGTGTTCACAATGATCACAAAGCTGCCTTGTACGGCTGTAGAGGTTTTTGAAGTCATCATCATTGGTAAGCCACTTCCTCGTCATCATCCGCCTGAGGAAAGGCTGGAAATAAGTAAAGAAATTATAAGAAGAGGCAAAGTTTCCGATTGGATTTGTATTAAACAAATTTTTAGGTTTTCTATATAGGAGGTTAAACAAGTGATACATAACATATTATATAACATACATATTGTGCACAATAGGAATATTCAGATCAATTATTCCAAATCAAAGTGTTCTTTATTGATTTCACATTTAAAAAATCATTTCCTCCTTAGCAACTACAGCGACTTTAATTTCTAAACAATGTTGATATAAGCAATAGGTTTTTTTTTATTTGCATTTCATATTTCTCCTTACACTAAACAAATTTCTTATCTCAATAGTCTCAGTTTGAGAACTTCTGTTAAGTCCATAATTTCTAGATATTGTAAAGGTGTTTCTAAAAAGAACGTCAAGAGTTTAAGATCTCTTTTTCACTTCCTCTTAAAAAACACAAAATGAAATGTCTAAACTTTAAGAGGAAGCGAACCAATCAAAGAGGAACAGAGAGTTTACCTAATACAGCTCTTCTAGCATATGCAACAGTGGAGTTACCTTGGCATCATCTTTATACTGTTTCCCCAGACTTTCCATTAGCCTCTCAATAAGCCCTTTCACCTCTCCTCTGAACGCCTCCACCTCGTTTGGACAGCTGTCCATGTACCCCTCCATGTATTGCCTACAGACAAAAAACAATGAGAAATTTAGAAAATGTCATCTTTTGTGTGACTTTTATGCGTGTACACCTAAAAATTTTCACAATTTGTCGTTTTGCAACCAGATTGGATTACATCTTGGCAAAAATAGATGTAACACACCAACACAAAGCCATGCAAAACCTTGAAGCAATCAGAACAGGATATCATAAGGCAGCTGTACTCAATGTTGACCACCTTTCATTGCAAATAGAGCTGCACATTTTCTCTTAAACATATCTATCAACAAAATAAGATTCTTGGACTCAAAATAAAAAATAAAAAACACATCTGCATGGTCAACTCTTTTAAATCTCTAAATGCTGCAAAGTCGCCTCCTCCCAAGACAGTTTTCCAAGACACTCCTACAGGAAATGCATCATTGCGCCCACGGTGATTGAAGAGGAAACTCCAAAGTCACATTCTGTCTCTCCAGACTGACCAAAGGCTAAGTGAATCTGCTGCAAACTCCAAAACCAGATTGCTTCTAAACAGACTCCTTGCTAAATTTCTCTCTAAGACTAAGGACTTTCAGGTGCAGGAGGCTGGAGTGCTGGAGCTCCTACAAACAAAGAACTTCTCTAAAGTGAGTCTGCCTTGTTAAGCCAATACTGGAGAAACCCAGCTTTTCCAAAAGCGAGATCAGCAGAGGTAGAGGTTTGGCACATTTAGGGAAAGATTTTTTTTTAGCTAAATAATTTCTTTTTGATGATAATTTCATATCTTCCCTGTAATCTAAAGGTAATATAACAAAATAGGCTTCATAGCACACCACAATGACATGTTTAAGCTGCTGTTTATAAAGCAAAACAAGTTTTAATTTAGGTGGATGCAGAGTGGGTAGCACTGCTGCCTTAAAGCAAGAAGGTTCTGGTTTCGATTCCCAGCCTGGGGTCTTTCTGCATGGAGTTTGGATGTTCTCCCTGTGCATGCTTGAGTTCTCTCTGGGTACTCCGGTTTCCTCCCACAGTCCAAAAACATGACTGTTAGGTTAATCAGGGTCCCTAAATTCTCCTTAGCTGTGAGTGTGTGCGTGAATGGTTGTCTGTCCTGTTTGTCTCTGTTTTGCCCTGCGATGGACTGGCGACCAGGGTGTACCCCGCCTCTCATCCACTGACAGCTGGAGATAGGCACCAGCACCCCTTGCGACCCTGGCAGGAATAAACATGAGGAAAAATGAAAGGATGGAAGTTTTACCTTAATAAGGGTTTAAATACTAATATACAAATCATTTTCTTGTGTTTCGTCATATCCTCATCACATTTTGATTAACAAATTATGACCAAAGAGCCATTTAGGCCCCTCAGGTTTGCTAGCTACTAGCCTAATTCAAAGAAGGTTAAACATGGATAAAATAAAGGTTATTCTTCAGTTTAGGCAAATCATTTAATAAAACATTATTTAATATTTTATTTACATCTAATATTTGCATTGTGAATGGATCTGAACACATTCTAATTGTTCTAAATTAGTTAAAAGCTAATTGGACCTCATTTTTAAATACCTTAAGATAAACAAACATCATGGTTCTCAAACATAAAACCCATGCTGAACCGTTATATCATTCTATCATTTTATTGATAAGGATTTTCAACCATTATTTTCTTTCTTCTTTGTACATGGTAGCTTATTAATATTGAGTTTCACTAATTTAGTCAAGAGTTTTTACCGGAAAAATGTTTGACTTGGAGCAGAATGAGTTTTGTGTTAGGATTCCAGTTTGTTTGGGTTGTTTTTGTGTTTTTCTTCTCTCCACCACCAGATGGTGCCCTGTCCTCGTTGGGCCTCCTTACACACCTGCGGCTCATTGGGTCATTACCAGAGGAGTATTTGAGCTGTGGGCTGTCACTACCTCGACGCCAGGGTGTTTGCCAGTATTGGGAAGCCTTCCTGAAACACTGGATAAGCCTGGACCTTCCACCCCCCTGGAAGGATTATCTGAGTCACACTGAGCAAGGGGAAACCTCCTCATGATCCGTTCAAGTCCACCTCTGGAAAACCAGGTGACAGTCCGCTCCTTTACTCCTCTGGGTCCAACGTTAGTCTGCCTGTCCGCTCTCCAATGAGTTCCTTCTTCTCTGGATAAAACTCCACAAACTGGATCCAAGGAATAACCAAGAGCCCCCAAAGCGTGAGTGCCTCTCCAGCAAAATACAAGCCTCAGTCTTTTTTTTTTTTTCCCACGGTCCCTGAACGAATCATAGTGATCTTCCCTTCAGAGTTTCCGGTTCCGGTTCACCAGTCCGTTGAGGTCCAGCATTATAACCCATCAGAATACTCTCTCCGTCTGTGTTTCTTTGCAACCTTCAATAAACCTGTTAACTTTTACCCTTGTCTCTGAGTGGTTCTCTGCATGTGGGTCAGATCTTTAAAGCCTATTATGACATTTAGTTAATAAACTCTAATATTTTGAAAGGAAGATGTGGTACATTTATTCCATATATGCGCAGAGCTCCCTGATTTTACCATGATTTGAGCTTGATTTGTTCTAACAACCAGCAGCTGGGCATGTTTTCACAGAACAAAATATGACAGTCAGAATGTTATCTGACTAAGATATTAGCCACCCCCGACTGGGGTAAGCAATAAATATATCCTAATTACACAACGTCTCCATCATATTTCAGGTGTTGCATGTATAGCTTATTTTAAAGGGCAACATATTTTATTGGCAGCAAAATAACTTAACTCAGGGGTTAGCCTAGCCACTAGATAAACATTTTAAATGGCACATGCCTCTACTTTCTCACTTGAAATGCCTTTCTTGGCTCTGAGTGCCCAAGGTCTTGCGTTTGATAAATGTAACTTAATTACTCAAATGAAGGGTAAATACACTTAGATTAGGACATGTTTAGATCAATTTGTGCAGTTGGAAAAATCTATACTAAGCACCTTTCTTTGAATCTATGAGTTTGTTAATCAGGCCTACTTTAGAGAAGCATACAAGTTAAAGGGTGCAGGGAAGGTGAAAGCTACTTATACACCTCCTCAGCTCCACTTTAATAAGATCAAATGAGTGATATAAATCAAACTGAAATGCTGCCCTAAACATGTCTGTCTGGTTTATATCAGGGGGTGAGGCCAAATCATGCATGGTCCAAGTGCTTTCGCTTTTCCCCCTTTTAATAGAACCGTTTCACACTCGCTTCTCTGTTTCCAGGAAATCACGTGACCATGAAGATTTTTTACTACAGCTATTAATTAAACCCCATCCAGAAACCCCATCAAACCCCATCCTCCCTTAAACTTATGTTTAAGCAGGCAAATTTTCAGCTGAAAAAAAAAATAGAGATGACACATCTTCATAATAGTTCTAAATTTATAAAGACTTCAGAAAGATTCTGTGAAATCATGACAAAACAGATTGAAGCTCATCTTTGTAGAAACTATCTGACTCTAACAATCTGTGTTTTTTATGAGAGAGATGGCCTAGTGGGTAAAGCAGGGAGCTTTATGGATACATAAAAAATATCCATCTAAAGAAGTCCTACAATCTTTAACATGGCCAAAGTATTTTTGATCTTGATCTGAGATCGATAGAATAAGCAGGAGAAGATTCTACTCAAAATAAGTGCAATAATCTGCCAATGTAGTCAGATTTTATGCAATTGGTAGTATGAGAATATATATCATAGCTTCAAGAAATAGGAAAATAGGAAAACTTATGAAAATAATCTTCTCCAAAATAGATTCATAATGCAACAAATTCTGCTCTTTCTTAATATATCACAGTCTAAGCAAGATCACAACTACTTTTTGGATAACAAAATATTTTAAGACATGGTTAGATGTACAAGTTATGTGCAAGGTTGCTTGTTTAAATCCCAAAACCTTCCACTCTGGGTTTCTAAACAAGAGCTTTCACCCCAGATTGCTAGCAGGATGCAAATAATTATGAAAAATTAAGATTATTATCATTGCATTTAAAATATTCCTGAGACATCTCAAATAAGAGACACTAGCTGTAGCAGCAACTTGTTAATAGCTACAAGAATAGCTTTACTCAAGTTATCTATTAGGAGTAAGGTTATTCTATGTTATTCATTTGCTGGAAAAATAATTTTTCTAGATATATTTTGTCAAACCACAAACACAAGGTATATTTTTGTTGTTGAAATTCAATCCCTCTCTTTTCTGCAAAAGAAAAATATAGTTCTTAATTTTCTTAATTTCCTAGGTGTCCTGATTTATTTATATACATGACCATATTTCCCCTTGACCAATTTGCATCAATATAACAGATAAGAAACAGATGTAAAGAATGCTTAGTGATTAAACTAATCTACCAGATGACAGAGTTGGAAAAGTGAGCCTGGTTTAAATACCGGAGTGAAGACATCATGTTTGGCTGGGATCTTACATTTTTTCCACACAAGCTTGCGAATGCTGCATCACACAACAGTCACATTCTTGGTTTTACCATTAGCTGTTAAAGTTCCGAAAAGTGGCATTTTCAAACTAAAAGTCAAACTGAAATCAGAATGTGCAACCTAACTTTGACTAAATATTCATAAACAAAGGCAAGTATAAAGGTGTAAGCAGGCAGTATAGTTCTCAGAGTAGAAACAGTGCTGTGTTTCACATAAAATAACTGGTTTCTGTGAGGCACCCTGTTTACTTTCTCTTCTAAAGCATGCCACCACTTGCAGTTAAGCCACAACAACTCCATTGTCAGTTTCTCATTTTTTATGTCGGGGGACAAAAAGCCAGCTGCGGGTTTGTGGGTTTGTCATCTCGCCCGTTTGCAGTGCATTATGGGATTTCTGTGAATCCATGTGACTTACTGTAAAGCAGCAAAGCTGTTAATGTAGGTTATCTGATACTTTGTCCACAGGGGTTGGGGTTGAAGGGCGCTGCAATGCAATATGAACTGGTTTTCAAACCTAGAGAAGAGAGAAGAGACCTTAGTTAGTCGAGAAAAGAAATAAAACTGTGAGATAATGCAGGCGACTTGAAATCCTTTCCTTATGTCTTCAGTATTTATAGAAAGATTATATGCTATAAGCAAATACAGAATCACAAAAGATTGTAGAGGGAAAATGATGCATGAATTTCAGTTTGCTTCTAAATCTGAAAAGTGTGGCATGCATTTGTACTCAGTCTGAGTCAGTTATTGTGCTGGGTATTTAACTAGAGGAAGAGTCTGAGCATATTCCCTTCATTTTAACTTTACTTCACTTGTCGCCTTAACATTTCAGGATCCGTTTTAAAGTTATTTTGTTTGCTTTAAAATGTCCTAATAGCCTGCCATTCATTTTATTATAATTTTATTTGTTATTTTTATATGTGTTGCTCCCAATCCTTTTAAAGTGCTCTACAAATAAAACAGGTATTGTTTAGCAATCAGATCAAATTCAATATCAATTAATTGCAAAAAAAAAAAGTTTTACAAGTATACTTAATGTTCTAATCAATGCTATTTTCATCATGTTTTTTACCATAATCTTCTAACTTCAAATCATGATATCTTAGCCATGCCATAGCAGACTCATTTTGTGGCTCTAAATATATAAATTGTCAGTTTCTCTGTAAAATGTATTATTTTATTATTTTATTATTAAGTCCTCTTTGTGGGTCTGATAAGTAATTTGAACTTTTGCAGAAAAGGAAATTACCACATAAAAAATCTAAAGAGAGAACATTCTCACGTGGACCAACACTAAGTGGCACATGATTGTGAATAAAAAAAAAAAAGGCTTTCAGTATTTTCTAAAAATAATAGTCTAGAATAAAATTAAATAAAATTAAATAATTAAATTTCTGTTTTCTATCAAAGATAAAATTTATGGTAGAATAGAAGTTTAACTTTTGGGGTCAACCCACCACAGCACTACCTGCATACAAGTGAAGTGGGACCTTTAGCGCTTTTTTTTCTAACAATAACTTTTGTTCTCTACAAAGTGAGGGGAAGACATAGCGGTTACAGTATGCTTGTTGAATTGTGTGATAATTAACTTTGCAATCTAAAAACTTTCCATTTACTAACAAGACTGAAGGTCTGTGAGGTTTGTTGCTTTCTAATCTAATTCTGCTTTAAAAAAAAAAAAAAAAAGTTCTCCCTTATCTGTCTACAGTAATGCTGTATTTTCCTTGGTCTTAATGATGCTGTTAGTTAGAAAATGTTTTACCAGAATCCTCAGACCCCAGAATAAATTAAACACAGGTAGAGTCCTTTTAGGTTATCTGATTATATCTGAGGACAGGTTATTATTTATTTCATTAAGGAACATCAGAGGATACTGGATAAAAGAAAAAAAAAACCTACAAAGCATTTAACTTTTTGTAAATAGCTTTTGAAACCACGTGTAATTTTCCTTCTGCTTTCTATTGTTGGAGCTTGCGTTAATCTGTTATGTAAAACTCCATTATAAATAGATATGTGTCATAATGTCAGATTTAGAAAAAAAAACAAAACAAGGGAAACTATGTGGAAATATGGATTGAAAAATTTAGGTAATATGAGTTTTTTTTTATTTTCAAGGGGCTGGGGAAGGAATGTCTGAGATTCAAGAATGAAGTCTTGATAATAAAAAGATAACTGAAGATGATAAGTTTGTTTAATCAGAATTAGACATACGTTAATAATCCCAGAGGGAAATCACTTGAATTAAATACTTTAAATGTCTAAAAAATCCTCTCATGGAGATTTGACCCCAGTAAATATGAACCACCTGTAGACAGTGCAACAAATATTCCTGGGTGAAAATGTTTTCACATAGTTAGCTGAAAGTTTAGTTGTTGTTTTTTAGTTTTAACTGTAAATAATTTTAAGATTTTGTTTTAATTTTTAAAATGAACTCAAGTGTTCTAAGTTTAATGTTTGCAACCAAAGCGTAGTTATCACCTTCTATGGTATTATTTTATTCCTTTAATCAGCAATAAATTACAATAAACCGTTGATGAAAACAACACAAATTAATGCTGTAATAACAACTATAATAATAATAACTTGAAATTAACTTAATTCTTGCTTAACCCTTTCAATTTACCTTGTGGGAAAGGTTTTCAGCTCCTCAAGACAGGAAACGATCACTTTCTTTTCCAGTTCAATGTCTAGTTTTTGGGAGTGGATCACATTTGCCTTCATATTCTGCAGACAGAAACAGACAGAATTAAAAACGACACATGAGAAACATTAAGCTATCTGCTGCCATCTAGGGGATGCAATCCAGCATTACACCACAAATAATAAAGCATTATTGTCATTTCTCTTGAATATACAGATTTTTACTTGATTTGAGCAAAAAGCATCTGACTATTTGAAAATGTAAATACATTATTTACATTAAATATAAAAAACAACAACTCTATTATCTTATTTTAAGTGCATAATGTCTAATTTTCTTATTTTAAGGGCAAACATACTTCCGTAGGCAGATCATGTTTTTAATGTGCTCATATTGAGGGAAAATACGGCTAGTTTAAGATTATTTTTTTATTATTTTTAGATAAATTTTTCCCATTTACATATTCCATGATGTTTTCAATTTTTTTCAAGTTTGTGTTTACATTTTAATACTAACGGCAAATATATTTTTTCTTTAAATAGTTATCACTGTAAATCCGTAATAATCACTTGAAATTATATTTGTCAGCAAAAATCTGCTGGACAAAAAAAAAAAAAAGAAAAAAAAAAGAAACGATAGAAAAATAAGAATTGTTAAATCTGTCATAAACTACTTGATTCCAGAGGAACATCCAAATGTTGATTTGAATTTAACTAAAGACAACTTATAACTTATATTCTAATTTAGTGGGCGTAACAACAGTGAGGCTGTTAGGCCCTGTCTTCACTATGGTATTGATTTTTTTATAGCCTGAATAAGTATGATCATCATTTTTTGTAGAGAGCTTTAAAACACCTAACAGCTAAAAAAAAAAGAAAGTATTAAACATAGCTAAAAATAATTAAACACAATAAAAGAATAAATTATAACATAAATGTATAAAATAAGGCTATAATAAAATAAGCTAAATAAGCATGGTAACAACAATTTAGTCCAGCCAGCAAATAAAACTGAGTCTTCAGGCATTTCCTAAAATTTGGTAGTGAAGGAGATGCTCTATTATGCAGTGGGAGGCTCTTCCAAAGAGGAGCGGTGATAGAAAAGGCTGTCGCTCCTTTGAGCTTCCTCTTAGACGTTGGTCCCTGCAGGAGCTGCTGGTATGTTGGGAACATTCCTTAAAGATTTTCAATCTACTGTGTATAGGTAGATCAGCTGCACAATCATGCTGTGAATCTCCCATTCCACCATATCAAAAGAAAGGTTCCTCTCTATGAAGACCACTGGAGCACAGTAAACTAAAAACCAGTTTGAACTAACATGGCATATACCGCAATGCACTCTCTTCTAATAGCTATGGTAAGCTAAGATTACCAAAGTGAGCCTAGACAAACTGCTTCCATCAGCCTGAACCACGGAGCTAAGGCAGGATGGATCTATGCTCTCTTGTTTATGCAAGAAGCCAAACTGATTTTTTAGTTTCAGTTTCTCTTTTGTAGTTGATAACCTTGGTATGCAATGTGGTCTTCAGCTGATGTAGACAGAATCAGTAAGTAGATTTTAAATGATTGTCAAAATGGTCAAAATAAACCTCCATGTTATCTAATCAGAAACCCTGATGATGAAGATGTTCCTCTACCAATATCATTTCCATGCAAGTAGTTTGATTTAGCAGTATAGGAGTCATGAATTAGAGTCTTACAGTCCAGATGTCCATAGGAAATTGAGAGTGAAAGACGTTGTCTTCTATCTGGGGCTCATTTTTGTCTTTCCAAACATCTTTATTTTCCAGTTCGATCACTCTGTCCAGTGCAGCACTCATGTCATCCTGCAGTGCACACACAGAGAGAAGCAACGGGACAACCATGTGAAAACATCAGGCTCAGCAGGAACAAATGGGTTTATTTCAGGTTACTAATACTCAGAAATCTGCTCTGAGCTGAAATGTTATTTTATGTTAGTAAAATACAATAAAATGTTAGAGTGGGGCCATTTTTCAGTTTTAATATATTTAGATGTTCACATTGTGGGTCCTTGGTCTGGTAATGATAATCAGTGCCATCAACGCCTGTATGTTATATTTCTAAAATGGTAAATATGTAAAGATTTAAAACACACAAATCAAGACTACAATCAAAAAAGAAAAAAAATAGTTATGGGGTGGAGGAAAAAAAGTAAGAGGTCTTTGTATTTATTTTCCTAAAATAAATTCAAAAAAATACATTGCAAAATGAATGATACTACTACCGCCATGCTTTACTGTGACTGACTTAATGCTTGGGTAAGACACTTTAAAGGCACACTATGCAACATTTTTCAGTTAATTAATGTGTTCCATAACGTTATGGATGATTAAATGACGTTATGGA